TTCTAATCTTTCTTACAGCATATGCTGCAGAACTAAGTCTGCTTGCTAATTTAGATATATGGGGACCCCATTGAAGTTTCGCGTCAATAGTAATACCGAGAAAAACAGTGGTATCCACAAGACTCAACTCCTCCCCATTTAAGAGCACATTGGTTTTCGAATGTTTTACATTAGGTATTGTAAATTTAATACATTTTGTCTTATTGCTGTTTAAGAGCAAATTGTTGGCGTTAAACCAATGTACTAGTTTCGATAGAGCATTATTTACATCGTCATATTTAATTGACTGCCGTTTCAGTTTGAAAATTAAAGAGGTATCGTCAGCAAATAATACTATATCGTGATTGTCCCCTACAAGATAAGGTAAGTCATTAATATAGATTAAGAACAGGAATGGGCCAAGAATCGAGCCCTGAGGAACGCCCATTGATACTACCGATCCGGAGGAACATTTACCATTAATGACGACTTTTTGAGTTCTGTTACTTAAATATGAAGTAATAAGTTTAAGCGCAAATTTTTTTTTTATAGCCTATGTATTATTCTGATGTATCATCATCATCATCATTACAGCCATTCACAAGTCCACTGCTGAACATAGGCCTCCCCCAAAGAATGCCACAAAGCACGGTCCTGAGCCACCTGCATCCATCGACTTCCTGCATGTCTTACCAGGTCGTCACTCCATCTCGTGGGGGGACGCCCTACACTTCGCCTACCGGTACGAGGTTGCCACTCGAGAACCTTTCTTCCCCATCGGTTGTCGGTTCTTCGAGCTATATGGCCGGCCCACTGCCACTTCAGCTTACTTATTCGTTGGGCTATGTCGGTTATTCTGGTTCTACTGCGGATATCCTCATTCCTAAGTTTATCACGCAGAGAAACTCCGAGCATAGCCCTCTCCATAGCTCGCTGAGCGACCTTGAGCTTCCTCATACGGCCAGCAGTGAAGGACCACGTCTCAGTTCCGTAAGTCATCACTGGCAACACGCACTGGTTGTACAATTTCGTTTTAAGGTTTTGAGGTATGTCTGACGAGAAGATGTGTCGTAGCTTCCCGAACGCTGCCCAGCCGAGTTGAATCCGTCGATTGACCTCTCGGTCGAAGTTGGACTTACCTAGTCGGACTATTTGTCCCAGGTAAACATACTCGTCAACAACTTCGAGCTTAGTGCTCCCAACAACTACCGGCATAGGTGTGACATGGACATTAAACATAATCTTTGTTTTATCTATGTTCATCTTAAGACCTATCCGTTGGGAAACACTATTGAGGTCATTGAGCATAGTGCTTAGGCCCTCCAGCGATTCTGCCATAAGGACTATATCGTCGGCAAATCGAAGGTGAGTGATGTACTCGCCATTGATGTTGATACCGTATCCTTTCCAGTCCAGAAGCTTGAAAACGTCTTCCAATGCAGCGGTGAAGAGTTTCGGGGATATGACGTCACCCTGTCTTACACCTCTCTGCAATTGGATAGGTTTCGTACTCTGGTTCTGTACTCGGATAGCCATCGTAGCCCTACTGTACAAGCACTTCAACACTTCGATATACCGACAGTCAATTTGGCACTGCTGAAGGGACTGCAGCACCGCCCAAATTTCGACGGAATCAAAGGCTTTCTCATAGTCCACATACGCCAGACATAGTGGCAAATTGTACTCTTCGGACTTCTGTACAACTTGCCGAAGGGTATGTATGTGGTCTATGGTACTAAAGCCCTTTCGGAAACCGGCTTGTTCGGGAGGCTGGAAGTCGTCAAGTCTGCGCGCGAGACGATTCGTAATGACTCTCGAAAAAAGTCAGTCTCCCAACCAAATTTACCTATATCCCTTAAAGTTCACTCTTGCCACAGACATACTCAGGTCTCTTGTCAATGTCCAACCATATCCTCTGTTGACAATATTAAATACCTAGGTATAATCTTAGATAAAAACCTAAATTTTAAAAGCCACATTAATCTTCTCACTGGCAGAGTCCGTAAATTAATTTACATATTTAAACCCTAAGAAGTATTGCTAACCCTACTGTTTTACGTAAAGTTTATTTTGCCCTATGCTTATCCATTATTACATACTGTATTTCCTGCTGGGGTGGTGCTGCTAAAACTAACCTAATGAAGCTGGAGGTGGCACACAGAGCCATTTTGAAAGTGGCTACTTTCCGGCCTATCATTTTTCCAACTAATCAGTTATACAATGACTGGAACGTCCTTAATGTTCGGCAACATTTTATTCTGCAAACAGTTCTAATGCAGCACCGCAAAACCCCTTACAGGGAAACAAGTAAACGTCGAAAGGACAAAATTTGTTCTCTACCACAAGTTCGCTTATCATTCACTAAAAGATTCTTTTATTTCCTGGGTCCGTCTCTTTACAATAAAATAAGCGAAAAATGTCCTATATATGGGTTATCATTATATAACTGCAAGAAAGCTGTCCGCTCATACCTTCAAAACACATCTTATGACGAAACAGAAAAATACCTGAACTGACTGATTATAAAATAACTAACCTGATTTATCTACTCTCTCACACAAACACACACATGCACACGCAAACACACACGCACACCCACGCATACGCACGCACACACACTCAAACACACGCACACACATACACACGCATTCATTTCTCAACTTTATAATTATAATTTGAATAACTAGAAATTGATATAATTGTAGCACTTTTAAATGTATGCATGTAAATATTATATACATAATGTTATGGGGATTGAGACTGTTACTCCTTAATACAGGTTATTCTGTAACCTAGCTAGGAGTGCAGAGCTACATCCACTAGATTTAAGGACATATTTTATAGATAGTACAAACAATGTAATGTCACACCAATGTACTACAATCACTGTATAAATTAAAAAAATAAAATAAAAAAAATAAAGTAATTAAACTACTCTCGAAAACAGCACGTAGACGCGGCTCAGAAGGGAAATCGGTCTGTAGTTCTTCAAGAGAGCGTTGTCACCTTTCTTGAAGAACAAGACCACCGCACTTCTGCTCCACGCCTCCGGTGTAATGCCACCATGGAGGACGGAATTAAAGAGCTTCTGAAGGACTTCAAGTACCGGTCTTCCACCCGCTTTCAGAAGCTCCGCTGTAATTCCATCCTCGCCTGGGGCCTTACCGTTTTTAAGGTGCTGGAGAGCCATTCTAATCTCGCTCAGACTGACGTCCGGGATATCTTCGGAATAGTGTCGGATGAGACTCGCTCTTGGATCGTTACTCACACTTGCGTGTGGCTCCAACGATGACGTGTACAGCTGCCCATAGAACCTCTCAATCTCACTCAAAATCTCAGGTGTCCCGGAAACGATGCTGCCACATTCCGTCTTCAGCTTTGACAGTTGGCTCTTTCTGGCAGACAGATCTCTGGCAAAGACTTTGGAGCCTTGGTTCCGCTCTATCGCTTCTTCAATACGAGCTGTATTGAAGTTGCGTAAGTCCCGCCGCATGCATTTGGAGATCTGTCTGTTCAGATGCCTGTATGCTGTCAAGTCTGTTGAAGAATGTAGCTTCATCTCCCGTCTAACAGCCATGAGATTAAGAGTGTGATCGGAGAGTTTTTGTGTTCTTCTGCGGCGGGTCTTGCAGAACTTAGCTCCGACCGCATGGACAGTTTCCGCGAGCTTGTCATTTATATCGTCTACTTCATTGCAGTCTTCTAGGCACTGAAATCGGTTTTGTAACTCGAGCTGAAAGGTTTCGGGACTTTGGAACAGAGCACGAGGGGGACGGAGCGTTGACTTCATTAGACGAGACCTCTCCAACTTAACGTTTAGGTTCAGTGTGCCTCTAACCATTCGGTGATCGCTACCAGTTTTCACCCTCGCGATCACGGAGACATCACTGAACAGTTGTCGTCTGGTCGTCATAATGAAGTCAATCTCATTTTTTGTCGAACCGTCGGGGCTCGACCAGGTCCACTTCCTGTGGGGCCGCTTCTGGAAGAAAGAGTTCATCATAAAGAGTCCCTCTTTCTCCATGAAGTCGGCCAGCTGCTGGCCCCTTCTGATGTAGGAGCTATATAATTGTAAAGTTTCATTAAAATCCATTAGTAGTTTTTACGTGAAAGAATAACAAATATCCATACGTCCTCACAAACTTTCACGTTTATAATATTAGTAGGAAGTAAGATATGACATTTTGATTATTTGTGTATGAAATTTTTAGATATACAGAAGAATTTAATATAATTTAATACTTGTATTCGCAAATAAAGAATTGATTGATTGTGGTGTGGTGTGTGCAGGAGTGTGAGTCGGCGAAGGTGGTGGGGATGCGGTACGCGGTGCGGGGGGTGCGGGGGGCGCGGGTCGCCAGCCTGCGCCTGTGCGGAGCTCCTCCCGGGGCTCGAACCCGCTGCTTCACCGTGCGCTACCACGACATGCCCGACGTGATCGACTTCCTGGTGCTGCGCGCGCAGTACCACGCCGCCGTCGAGCGCCGCTGGGGGCCCGGCGACCGGTGCGTACACACTAGCGAGCTCACCCACTCACCCACTCACCCACTCACTTCACCGTGCGCTACCACGACATGCCCGACGTGATCGACTTCCTGGTGCTGCGCGCGCAGTACCACGCCGCCGTCGAGCGCCGCTGGGGGCCCGGCGACCGGTGCGTACACACTAGCGAGCTCACCCACTCACCCACTCACCCACTCACTTCACCGTGCGCTACCACGACATGCCCGACGTGATCGACTTCCTGGTGCTGCGCGCGCAGTACCACGCCGCCGTCGAGCGCCGCTGGGGGCCCGGCGACCGGTGCGTACACACTAGCGAGCTCACCCACTCACCCACTCACCCACTCACTTCACCGTGCGCTACCACGACATGCCCGACGTGATCGACTTCCTGGTGCTGCGCGCGCAGTACCACGCCGCCGTCGAGCGCCGCTGGGGGCCCGGCGACCGGTGCGTACACACTAGCGAGCTCACCCACTCACCCACTCACCCACTCACTTCACCGTGCGCTACCACGACATGCCCGACGTGATCGACTTCCTGGTGCTGCGCGCGCAGTACCACGCCGCCGTCGAGCGCCGCTGGGGGCCCGGCGACCGGTGCGTACACACTAGCGAGCTCACCCACTCACCCACTCACCCACTCACTTCACCGTGCGCTACCACGACATTCCCGACGTGATCGACTTCCTGGTGCTGCGTGCGCAGTACCACGCCGCCGTCGAGCGTCGCTGGGGGCCCGGCGACCGGTGCGTTCACACTAGCGAGCTCACCCACTCACCCACTCACTTCACCGTGCGCTACCACGACATGCCAACTATTAAGTATTAAAAATAATTATTTTGTGTGTAAGAATAAATATAAAAATAATTTGTAACAAACTGACACAGCTTCGTTCCGCCAGTTCGAGTTGCGTAACACGAGTACTATTCGAGTTACATGAATTTCTACTTACGTTTACTCGAGTCGAGTTTCTTCCCACTTGTCACATCTCTACTACATTTTTTTTGTTATCTGAACCAATGACATGAACTTCAATACAAAACTTTTTTCAGATTTCTTGATTCCGTTTAGATATTTATAAAATTTTTATGCTATTTACAATAATAAATTGTTATCTTTTTTTTTTTTTGTATATAATATTATTGCGGGTCATGAAAATTTTTAGTGGGCCCAAAAACGATTGATCACCTTTGAAGACGTATTTACGTCAAAATAAAATAAAGAGCGACTGTTGGTTGTGGCGACAGGTTCCGGTGCATGATCGACGACTCGTGGTGGACGGGCATGGTGGTGGAGCGCACGGGCGGCGCCGAGGTGGAGACGGAAGCGGAGGCGGAGGCGGGGGCGGGGGAGGGGGCGGGGAACGGACCGGCGGCGGCCCGGCGCTGGGCGCGAGAGGCCGCCTCGCACTTCCTTTCGCTGAAGGTGCGCTGGGACAACGGCGAGATGGAGCGCCTCTCGCCCTGGGATCTCGAGCCTATCGATCCCAACAGGTCAGACCTTAGACCACTTCGAAAAATTAAAGCTTAGTATGTATATTATGCGATATCTTCGCCAGTAGAGTACCGTTATTTTTTAATTTAAAATAATACTTTATTATATTTCTTAAATAAATTTTGTGTAATTTATATTTTGTAATTAAAGTTAACATTTTACAGGTGGTACCATATTCGTTAAGAGAAATAAATACTACTGCCGTGAACCACTCCTAACACAAGCATTTTAGCTTACCAGTAGTGATCAAAGGGAATATTACAAATGTTAATAGCATACCCTAGTGTATAAAAGAAATTAGTGCAGTCTGATATCTGTGGTCCAGATTGCCGCAGGAGCCCGGTGGCGCGGTACCCGTGGTGGCGGGCGAGCTGGCGGCGTTGCTGCGGCGGGACGAGACGCACGAGTGGGAGCCCGGAGCGTGCACCACACTCGCGTCCCACGTGACCCAGCTGATGTCGCTCGCGGTCGCCGAGCCGTTCGTGGCGCCCGTGGACCTGCAGCTGTACCCGTCGTACGCGCTCGTCGTCGCGTACCCCGTCGACCTGTCCACTGTGCGGGCGCGCTTCGAGAACCTGGTGGGTGGGTCACTACTGCACTCGTCACTACACCACGTCACGTGACCCAGCTGATGTCGCTCGCGGTCGCCGAGCCGTTCGTGGCGCCCGTGGACCTGCAGCTGTACCCGTCGTACGCGCTCGTCGTCGCGTACCCCGTCGACCTGTCCACTGTGCGGGCGCGCTTCGAGAACCTGGTGGGTGGGTCACTACTGCACTCGTCACTACACCACGTCACGTGACCCAGCTGATGTCGCTCGCGGTCGCCGAGCCGTTCGTGGCGCCCGTGGACCTGCAGCTGTACCCGTCGTACGCGCTCGTCGTCGCGTACCCCGTCGACCTGTCCACTGTGCGGGCGCGCTTCGAGAACCTGGTGGGTGGGTCACTACTGCACTCGTCACTACACCACGTCACGTGACCCAGCTGATGTCGCTCGCGGTCGCCGAGCCGTTCGTGGCGCCCGTGGACCTGCAGCTGTACCCGTCGTACGCGCTCGTCGTCGCGTACCCCGTCGACCTGTCCACTGTGCGGGCGCGCTTCGAGAACCTGGTGGGTGGGTCACTACTGCACTCGTCACTACACCACGTCACGTGACCCAGCTGATGTCGCTCGCGGTCGCCGAGCCGTTCGTGGCGCCCGTGGACCTGCAGCTGTACCCGTCGTACGCGCTCGTCGTCGCGTACCCCGTCGACCTGTCCACTGTGCGGGCGCGCTTCGAGAACCTGGTGGGTGGGTCACTACTGCACTCGTCACTACACCACGTCACGTGACCCAGCTGATGTCGCTCGCGGTCGCCGAGCCGTTCGTGGCGCCCGTGGACCTGCAGCTGTACCCGTCGTACGCGCTCGTCGTCGCGTACCCCGTCGACCTGTCCACTGTGCGGGCGCGCTTCGAGAACCTGGTGGGTGGGTCACTACTGCACTCGTCACTACACCACGTCACGTGACCCAGCTGATGTCGCTCGCGGTCGCCGAGCCGTTCGTGGCGCCCGTGGACCTGCAGCTGTACCCGTCGTACGCGCTCGTCGTCGCGTACCCCGTCGACCTGTCCACTGTGCGGGCGCGCTTCGAGAACCTGGTGGGTGGGTCACTACTGCACTCGTCACTACACCACGTCACGTGACCCAGCTGATGTCGCTCGCGGTCGCCGAGCCGTTCGTGGCGCCCGTGGACCTGCAGCTGTACCCGTCGTACGCGCTCGTCGTCGCGTACCCCGTCGACCTGTCCACTGTGCGGGCGCGCTTCGAGAACCTGGTGGGTGGGTCACTACTGCACTCGTCACTACACCACGTCACGTGACCCAGCTGATGTCGCTCGCGGTCGCCGAGCCGTTCGTGGCGCCCGTGGACCTGCAGCTGTACCCGTCGTACGCGCTCGTCGTCGCGTACCCCGTCGACCTGTCCACTGTGCGGGCGCGCTTCGAGAACCTGGTGGGTGGGTCACTACTGCACTCGTCACTACACCACGTCACGTGACCCAGCTGATGTCGCTCGCGGTCGCCGAGCCGTTCGTGGCGCCCGTGGACCTGCAGCTGTACCCGTCGTACGCGCTCGTCGTCGCGTACCCCGTCGACCTGTCCACTGTGCGGGCGCGCTTCGAGAACCTGGTGGGTGGGTCACTACTGCACTCGTCACTACACCACGTCACGTGACCCAGCTGATGTCGCTCGCGGTCGCCGAGCCGTTCGTGGCGCCCGTGGACCTGCAGCTGTACCCGTCGTACGCGCTCGTCGTCGCGTACCCCGTCGACCTGTCCACTGTGCGGGCGCGCTTCGAGAACCTGGTGGGTGGGTCACTACTGCACTCGTCACTACACCACGTCACGTGACCCAGCTGATGTCGCTCGCGGTCGCCGAGCCGTTCGTGGCGCCCGTGGACCTGCAGCTGTACCCGTCGTACGCGCTCGTCGTCGCGTACCCCGTCGACCTGTCCACTGTGCGGGCGCGCTTCGAGAACCTGGTGGGTGGGTCACTACTGCACTCGTCACTACACCACGTCACGTGACCCAGCTGATGTCGCTCGCGGTCGCCGAGCCGTTCGTGGCGCCCGTGGACCTGCAGCTGTACCCGTCGTACGCGCTCGTCGTCGCGTACCCCGTCGACCTGTCCACTGTGCGGGCGCGCTTCGAGAACCTGGTGGGTGGGTCACTACTGCACTCGTCACTACACCACGTCACGTGACCCAGCTGATGTCGCTCGCGGTCGCCGAGCCGTTCGTGGCGCCCGTGGACCTGCAGCTGTACCCGTCGTACGCGCTCGTCGTCGCGTACCCCGTCGACCTGTCCACTGTGCGGGCGCGCTTCGAGAACCTGGTGGGTGGGTCACTACTGCACTCGTCACTACACCACGTCACGTGACCCAGCTGATGTCGCTCGCGGTCGCCGAGCCGTTCGTGGCGCCCGTGGACCTGCAGCTGTACCCGTCGTACGCGCTCGTCGTCGCGTACCCCGTCGACCTGTCCACTGTGCGGGCGCGCTTCGAGAACCTGGTGGGTGGGTCACTACTGCACTCGTCACTACACCACGTCACGTGACCCAGCTGATGTCGCTCGCGGTCGCCGAGCCGTTCGTGGCGCCCGTGGACCTGCAGCTGTACCCGTCGTACGCGCTCGTCGTCGCGTACCCCGTCGACCTGTCCACTGTGCGGGCGCGCTTCGAGAACCTGGTGGGTGGGTCACTACTGCACTCGTCACTACACCACGTCACGTGACCCAGCTGATGTCGCTCGCGGTCGCCGAGCCGTTCGTGGCGCCCGTGGACCTGCAGCTGTACCCGTCGTACGCGCTCGTCGTCGCGTACCCCGTCGACCTGTCCACTGTGCGGGCGCGCTTCGAGAACCTGGTGGGTGGGTCACTACTGCACTCGTCACTACACCACGTCACGTGACCCAGCTGATGTCGCTCGCGGTCGCCGAGCCGTTCGTGGCGCCCGTGGACCTGCAGCTGTACCCGTCGTACGCGCTCGTCGTCGCGTACCCCGTCGACCTGTCCACTGTGCGGGCGCGCTTCGAGAACCTGGTGGGTGGGTCACTACTGCACTCGTCACTACACCACGTCACGTGACCCAGCTGATGTCGCTCGCGGTCGCCGAGCCGTTCGTGGCGCCCGTGGACCTGCAGCTGTACCCGTCGTACGCGCTCGTCGTCGCGTACCCCGTCGACCTGTCCACTGTGCGGGCGCGCTTCGAGAACCTGGTGGGTGGGTCACTACTGCACTCGTCACTACACCACGTCACGTGACCCAGCTGATGTCGCTCGCGGTCGCCGAGCCGTTCGTGGCGCCCGTGGACCTGCAGCTGTACCCGTCGTACGCGCTCGTCGTCGCGTACCCCGTCGACCTGTCCACTGTGCGGGCGCGCTTCGAGAACCTGGTGGGTGGGTCACTACTGCACTCGTCACTACACCACGTCACGTGACCCAGCTGATGTCGCTCGCGGTCGCCGAGCCGTTCGTGGCGCCCGTGGACCTGCAGCTGTACCCGTCGTACGCGCTCGTCGTCGCGTACCCCGTCGACCTGTCCACTGTGCGGGCGCGCTTCGAGAACCTGGTGGGTGGGTCACTACTGCACTCGTCACTACACCACGTCACGTGACCCAGCTGATGTCGCTCGCGGTCGCCGAGCCGTTCGTGGCGCCCGTGGACCTGCAGCTGTACCCGTCGTACGCGCTCGTCGTCGCGTACCCCGTCGACCTGTCCACTGTGCGGGCGCGCTTCGAGAACCTGGTGGGTGGGTCACTACTGCACTCGTCACTACACCACGTCACGTGACCCAGCTGATGTCGCTCGCGGTCGCCGAGCCGTTCGTGGCGCCCGTGGACCTGCAGCTGTACCCGTCGTACGCGCTCGTCGTCGCGTACCCCGTCGACCTGTCCACTGTGCGGGCGCGCTTCGAGAACCTGGTGGGTGGGTCACTACTGCACTCGTCACTACACCACGTCACGTGACCCAGCTGATGTCGCTCGCGGTCGCCGAGCCGTTCGTGGCGCCCGTGGACCTGCAGCTGTACCCGTCGTACGCGCTCGTCGTCGCGTACCCCGTCGACCTGTCCACTGTGCGGGCGCGCTTCGAGAACCTGGTGGGTGGGTGGGATACATTGATACATTGAGTGAGCACTGCAGTGTAGCAGCATATTTCACATAGATGATGTGATCACCACATTAAGTAGTATATTTCACATTGATACATGAAGTGAGCACTGTAGTGTAACAGCATATTTCACATAGATGATGTGATCACCACATTAAGTAGTATATATCACATTGATACATGGAGTGAGCACTGCAGTCTAGCAGCATATTTCACATAGATGATGTAATCACCACATTAAGTAGTATATTTCATATTGGTAAGTGGAGTAAGCACCCCCTAAGTAATATATATATATATATATATATTGTTACAGTAAATACACTTTTCCACATTAAACTCACAAATTAATGGATATTAAAGGGTACTTAGAGTCACAAATAAACAATTTGATAACAGATTTTCTCTTATTATTTCAAGAAGTAATTGAAATGTTTAGTACTTACAACTAGTTTATTCCAATCGAAATCAGTGTGAATCTTTGCAGCTGACAAAGTGCATAACTGATCTTGTTAACCTGAAATAATTGTAGCTTGGATCGGGATATTGTATGAAGGGATTTTCTGGCAATTAATTGGAAGAAGAATTATAAGGAATTGATTATAGGTCTAATTATTGACAGATTGAGTACTGTTCTCGCTAGAGTCATTAGAATTCATTTAGCACCATGATCACTGCTATCAGCAGTAAAAGTGATCCACTTCTTCAACGCGTTTGCGGCATAAACGCTTTTATATTTGCGTTTGGAATATCCATCTATGCTAATAATCTCGTACCGGTCATTGTCAAGTACAGCATTAATCCTGAAAGGTCCTCTAAATTTTGGGTGTAACTTCTTACTTTTACCATCCGCAGGAATGTGATAGTTTGGAATCATTACAAGGTCACCTACTGAAAAGAATTGAGTTGGTGCCTTTTTTGTATCGTAATATTTCTTCATG